CATATCCTGAATCCCAGGTCCCCGCACCCCGCAGCCCCGTGTCTCCGCCTCCTGCTGCCCCGTCTGGCCATATCCTGCTTCCCGTAGTCCCGCATCCTGCAACTCCGTCTACCCATATCCTGCTTCCCGTGTTCCCACATCCCGCATCCTACAGTCGCGTATCCCGCATCCTGCAGCCCTGTGTTCCCATATCCTGCATCCCCGCAGCTGTGTACCCCACAGCCCGGTATCTCTGCATCCCGCAGCCTTGTTTCCCTGCATCTTGCGTACATGTAGCTCTGTATCCTCACATCCCGCAACCCACAGCCCCGTATTCCCGCGTCCGCTAACGCCATATCCCACAGCCCTGTAGCGCTGCACCCCGCAGCCCTTGATGCCACAGCCCTGCAGCCTTACAGCCCATGTCCCCGCAGCCCTGCAGCCCTGCAGCCCATGTCCCCGCAGCCCTGCAGCCCATGTCCCCGCAGCCCTGCAGCCCTGCAGCCCATGTCCCCGCAGCCCTGCAGCCCATGTCCCCGCAGCCCTGCAGCCCTGCAGCCCATGTCCCCGCAGCCCTGCAGCCCATGTCCCCGCAGCCCTGCAGCCCTGCAGCCCACAGCCCTGCAGCCCCGCACCCCACGTCCCCGCAGCCCTGCAGCCCATGTCCCCGCAGCCCTGCAGCCCATGTCCCTGCAGCCCTGCAGCCTTGCAGCCTGCATCCTTTGGTCCCATATCCTTACAGCTTGCATCCCGTAGCCCTCTAACCTTGCAGCCCACAGCCCTGCATCCCCCAGCCCCGTATCCCGCAGCACCCTGTCCCTGCCTCCTGCAGCACCCCATCCTTGTAAACCCAGCTCCTGCACCCCCATATATATCCTCGCAGTCTGCGTCCCGCAGCCCTGTACCCTTGCAGCCTGGCTAGCACAGCCCTGTATCCTTGCATCCCATGTCCCACTGCCTCATATCCTTGCAGCCTGCATCTCACAGCCCCGTACCCTTGCAGCGCACATCCCAATGCCCCGTACCCCTTCATCCCGTGCTCCCAGCCCTGTATCCCTGCACCCCGTACCCCTGCAACCCACGTCCCCAGCCCCGTATGCTTGCATCCCGCTGCCCCGTACCCCTGCAGCCCACATCCCCAGCCCTGTATCCCTGCATCCCGCTGCCC